ATTATACAAAAAATTTTTGCTATCACAATATTTATATTAACAAGAAGGTAAAAGGAAGAAACAACCTAAATGCTTATATTCATGTTTAGGTCACCTAGAAGAGACACTTACAGGATGAATTTTTTTGCAATAGCTATCAGGGTTAATTTAAATAATTAATAAGGAACTACAATATCCAAGTAAAACTTTCTATTAAGATTAAACAGAGAGAGAACGGGTGCAGCAAAATGTTTAAACAGAATACTCCACCAATTGTCCTCCCTGCAAGGTCACCATTTAAACAAGTATCTACACAAAAAAAAGCAACTAAATAAGAATCGAAAATCAAGTGAGCACTAACAGTACCTGGTTTCAACTTCATAACCCTGAAAGAGGCACTGAAGAAGTAGGTAAAACAGTCATGAATCACTGACATGACCCGTTCCATATACCCCAGCAGTGGCAGTATGGTACTGCCTCGTTAGAGCAGCAAGTGAAACTAAACCAAACACAGCTGACATCTACTCATGGAGAGAGTGTTTAAACCAGCCCAGACAGATGTGAGTCACTGATCCCGGTAGTCTTGAGTTCCCACAAGCCTCACCACCTCAAAAAAGTTCTGTGGAACCCTAGATAAAATTGAAAGTCAGTCTAGCCCATAGGGACTGCAATTCCTAGGTGAGTCCTGGTGGCTGAACTGGGCCCAGAGTCAGTGTTCTGGGGAGGCACCTGACCTAATAAGTCACCAGCTGGGGGAGCTAAGTGAGTGCTGGCATCACACAGCCTCTAATTCGAGGCTGCAGAGATCTCCCAAACAGAAAATCTAAAAAGAAATAAGATCAGAGCGGAAATTTGAAAAACAATGGAATGAAGAGAGAACGGAAGATCAATTAAACAAAAAGTTGTTTTTTTAAAGAGTTAAACAAAATTGACAAACCTTTAGCCAGACTAACTAAAAAAAAAAGAGAGAAAATCCAAATAAATAAAATTAGAAATGAAAAAGGACACATTACAACTAATATTGCAGAAATTCAAAGGATCATAAGTGGCTACTATGAAAAACTAAATAAAAAAAAAAAAAAAAAAAAAAAAAAAAAACTTTAACTTTAACAAAAAAAAAAAAAAAAAAGAGAGAGAGAGAGACGATCCAAATAAATAAAATCAGAGATTTTAAAAAAGACTTATTAAAAATGATACTGCAGAAATTCAAAGGGTCATGAGTACTACTATGAGCAACTATATATCAATAAATTGGAAAATCTAGGGGAAGTTGATAAATTCCTATACACATACAATGAACCAAGATTGAACCAGGGGGAAATTTCAAACCTGAACAGACAAATAACAAGTAATGAGATTCACGACATAATAAAAAGTCTCTTAGTAAAGAAAACCTGGTATCATCAGTGTTGTATTTTACCAAACATTTAAAGAAGAACTAACACCAATCCCCCTCAAACTATTCTTAAAAATAGAAGACAATGGAATACTTCCAAGTTCATTCTATGAGGCCAGTATTCCTCTGATATCAAAACCAGACAATGACACATCAAAAAAAATAGAACAGGCCAATATCACTGATATTGATATTGAATATTGATGTAAAAATCCTCATCAAAATACTAGCAAGTCAAATTCAGCAATACATTAAAATGATCATTCATTATGATCAAGTGGGATTTATCCCTGGGATGCAAGGATGAGGATGAGACAATATATGTACATCAATCAATCTGATATATCATATCAAAAGAATGAAAGACAAAAACCATGTGATCATTTCCATTAATGCTGAAAGAACATTTGATAAAATTCAACATCTTTTCACGATAAAAGCCCTCAAAAAACAAGGGGATAGAGGGAGGATACCTCAACATAATAAAAGTCATATTTGACAGACCCACAGCTAGTATCAAACTGAAAGTCTTCCTCTAAGATATGAAATATGACAAGGATGCTCACTTTCTCCACTCTTATTCAACATAGTATTGGAAATTCTCGCCAGAGTAATCAAACAAGAGAAAGAAATAAAGGCATACAAATCGGAAAGGAAGAAGTAAAATTAACTTTGTTTGCAGTGCAATATTACCTTTTATTTGGAAAAACCTAAAGACTACACCAAAAAATACTGTAAATGACTAATTCAGTAGAGTTACAAGATACAAAATGAACAGAAAAACCAGTAGATTTCTATATGCCAACAGCGAACAATATGCAAAAGCAATTTTAAAAGTAATTCCATTTGTAATGGTCATAAATAAAATTAAATACCTAGAAATTAATCAAAGAAGTGAAAGATCACTACAATGAAAATTATAAAACACTAATGAAAGAAATTGAAGAGGGTGCCAAAAAATGTGATGATATTTCATGTTCTCGGTTTGGAAGAATCACTATTGTAAAATTATCCATATTACCCAAAGCAATCTACAGATTCAATGTAATCCCCATCAAAATACCAATGACATTCCTCACAGAAATTGAAAAAACAATCCTAAAATTTACATGGAACCGCAAAAGATCCAGAATAACCAAAACTATCTTAGGCAAAAGTTCAAAACTAGAGGTATAATATTACCTGACTTGAAATGATACTACCCAGCTATAATAATCAAAACAGCATGATACTGTCAGAAAAAAGACACAGAGATAAATGGAATGAAATAGACAGATCAGAAACAAATCCACACACTTACTGTGAACTCATTTTCAACAAAAAAGTCAAGAAAACACAATGGGGAAAAGACTCTCTTCAGTAAGTGGTACAGGAAAACTGGGTATCCATATTCAGAAGAATGAAACTAGACTACCATCTCTCACCAAATACAAAAGTTAAATCAAAATTAATTAAAGGCTTAAATCCAAGACCTCAAACTATGAAACTTCTACAAGGAAACATTTGTGGAAACTCTCCAGGACATTGGTCCAGGCAAAAATTTCTTGATTAATAACTCATAAGCACAGGCAACCAAAGCAAAAATGGACAAATGATATCACATCAAGTTGAAAAGCTTCTGCACAGCAAAGTAAACAATCCAAAAAGTGAAGAGACAATATCCAAATGGGATAAAATATTTGCAAACTACCCATCTGACAAGGGTGTATCTGTACCACATGTTCTTTATCCAGTAATCTGTTGAAGGAACCTTAGGCTGCTTCCTAATCTGACTGTGATGAACAGTGCTGCAACAAACATGGGAGTGCAGACATCTCTTTGATATACTGATTTCCTTTGTCTTGGGTATGTGCCCAGCAGTGGGATTGCTGGATCATATGCTAGCTTTATCTTTACTTGTTTGAAGAAACTTCAAACTTCAAATGGGTTAATAACCAGAATATGTAAGAACCTTAAACAACTCTATGAGAAAAAATCTAATAATCCAATTTAAAATTGAGCAAAAGAATAGACATTTCTCAGAAGAAAACATACAAATGGCAAACAGACATATGAAAATTTGCCCAATATCATTGATCATCAGTGAAATGCAAATCAAAACTACATGAGAGATTATCTCACCCCAGTTAAGGTGGCTTTTACCTAAAAGACAGGCAATAACAAATGCTGGCAATAACAAATAGAGAAAAGGGAACTCTTGTACACTGTTGGTTGATGGGAATATAAATTAGTAGAACCACTATGGAGAAAAGTTTGAAGATGAAGGGGAGGATAAGGGTATAGTTAATGGGTTCAAAAGCATAATTAGTAAGAATAAGACTTAGTATTAGCTAGCACAACAGGGTGACTACAGTGAATAATAATTTAATTGTACACTTAAAAATAACTAAGAGTATCGCTGAATTGTTTGTAATACAAAGAATAAATGTTTGATAGGATAGATACCCCATATTCCATGATGTGATTATTACCCGTTGCATGCCAGTATCAAAACATCTCATGTGCCCCATAAAAATATACACCTATGTACTCCCAAAAATTAAAAATTAAAAAATAAAATGAAACAGAGCTAGTTTCAACTTAGCATAAGCAGTAAGATCACAAGCATATTTAACAATAAATTAACAAAAGCAATGTACAGAGCAAAAAAAGATAACAAAATATTAAGAACTTCAAATATTTGAATTTCAGATATTTTTGTTTCTACATTTTCCAATTTTCTTTAACAATGCTTCTTAATTTTTAATTTTCAAACAAGTAAATGTTTTGAAAGCTTATCTACCTAATTCAAGAAGGAATATTAGATTATAATTACATTCAAAAAGAAATTCTTAAGACAAAGAAAAACTTTAACTTCATTGAGCCTCCATATCAGCTTTGGAATTCCTAATTCTGGATTTTAAATCAGAGTGAACTATTTTTTATCACGTTCATGCTATTTTAGTGAGACCTCTCTTACTAGTTGCCAAATGCAATTATTAACTGATAGGATACTACCTACTATTTTATAATAAATGACAATTTAACTTAATATGAGAACTATAAAAACAAAAATAGACTTCTTTTCATGAAAAATACACACATATGATTGAAAGCAAGGCCAACTTGAAAAATGTAATTTGCAGAGTACATCACTTTTTATTTTTTAATATTTGAAGAAAATGAGTAGATAAATATTCAGCAAAACTTTCAAATTTGTAAAACACTTCTTCTTTTCAGGTACTTAGTCTTTTAGTAATCCAACCCTTTGGAATAGAGATATGTTCTTGAACATAATTCTTGTTTTATTTTATATCAAATGTATTTTGTAGTATTACAATAATTTATATTTTTGCCTTAGTTATTTAAAAATTTGCCACACAATAAACTACTAAATTGGCCTGATTTTAATTCTATTCTCATATTTTAGCAAGTTACTTACCAGAGAGTGTATCTGTGCTGCTTATGAACATTCAAATCTCATAGGCACAATTTAAGTGACACACAAAGGAATCCTATCCACATTTTGTTTTCTAATATTTCTATTTATGAAAAATAAATATCATATTCTTTTTAAAAATCTTTTAGACATGTAAGTGTAAATCTTTGGCCTACCAACACCAATTGAATATTTTATATTACATACCAATAGCTTGAACACAACATGGTCGGATAAGTGGTACTGTTATTGGATCCGAAGGGGCACTAGATAAATATTTAGTGTAGAGCTTTGAAGACTGAAAGAAATTAATCCGAACTTGAATGGCAAATTCAACTACTGCCACCTGATAGAAAAAAATACATTATACTTGTTAATTTTTGCTTTGAGAAATATAGGACACTATTTATTTAGCCAAACGACAGTTTTTAAAAGCACTTTTAAAAAATAAAATTATCTTGTGACATTACATTTTTTAAAACAAGATGATTCATTTTTAATTAATTCAAAAATGATTCTAAAAAATACAAATAAATTTTGAATAATTCTTATTCATTCAAAATGAACCAGATTTTAAATATAAAATCCAAAGCAGTAAATATTTAGGAAGAAATTATAGAAAAAAAAATCCTTGTAATCCTTGGGAAAGTGAAGATTCCTAAATGTAATAGCAATCATCTATTAGATCATCTATTTAAAAGCAATTAAATTGTACAGCATCAATTGTTTAATCTGTTATTTTAAAAGACATTATTAAGAAAATAAAGCTGTAAGTCAAAAGACATTTTTCTCACAAAAAAAACTATCTTTATCCAAAATACATAAAGAATACCCAAAGTTCAATTTTCTAAAATGAACTAATGAAAAAGTTTGTAAAAAATTTGAAAAGATACTTCAGAAAGGAAGTTATACAAATAATATATTAGCACATGGAAAGATGCTTCATATTAACAAAATGCAAATTGAAACCATATGAGATATCACTTCACACCTATCAGAATTGCTTAAACAAAAATAACATGTGAACACCTAAAACATTTATACATCGCTCATGAGAATGCAAAATTTTATAGTTACTTTGAAAAACAAAGTAACTTCATTATTGGAAAGTTTTCGCATAAAGCTCAGGGCTCCCAAATTTAGGTGTTTACCCAACAGAAGTGAAACTTATTCATACAACTTATTTATTATTGCCAAAAACTGAAAATAATCCAAATGCCCTCCAAATGGTGAATGAATAACAAACTTGCTTTTCAACAATAAAAAGAATGAACTGTTGCATACAATAATGTGGATGAATTTCAAATGTACTATGCTAAGTGAGAGAAGTCAGACTGAAAACCTCATGATTACCTTATGAATACCTTATGATTTCACTTATATGGCATTTTATAAAAGGCAAAATTATGGGGTCAAATTCAGATTAGTGTTTCCCAAGAACAGGAGTTGGAGGAGAGGTTGAATACTAGGTCTTATTCATTCTTTTTAACTATGTTTTTTGTACTCATTAACCACCCACAGTTCCCTTTCATCCACCTACTACCCTTCATAGCCTATAGTAATACACACAAGAAAAAAGTACAGAAAGTGATGCAACTGTTCTCTATATTGATTTTGGTATTTTTTGCACAATTGTACACATTTGTTAATATTCATATATCAGAAAGAGACTTTTAGCGTATGCACATTTTTTTAAAAAGTTAAAGCAAATGCCTTGGCTCTGATTTTTATACATCTGGATTCAAAACTCAAAATGGACTGACAATATCGGCACCTAGGCAATGAACAGTCAGAGCTATAAAATATATTTGCAATTATATAGTGCCAGCCCTTCATTTCGAAAAAAAAGAATATGTGGTCCAGTCTTGATGAAAACACAGAGTCTGCATCAAAAAGAGTCGATCTGCATGTCTGGGGTTTTATCAAAACTAAAAAGGTTGGCTTCAGCCAAATAGTAAACAGGCAGCTACAAATGTCCATGGTCCCACAGAAAAATCAAAAACACACAAAAACTGTCAGGAACCATGTTGTCAGAACTGGAAAAACGTCAAAAGTTTACAGCAATCAAGTGAACACTGAATCAAGAAAAAAGACAACTTAAAAACAGCAGGAAAGCTCGGTGGTACTTTCACTTGCCCTTGTTCCACTCCCTCTGACTCGGCAGTTGTCTTGAGGCTAGCAGGCTTCATTTCCCAGTACAAGACCCTGATACCTGATTTTTTATTTTTTAATTAAATTAAATTTTTTATTTTTTTAGATTAAATTAAATTTTTTATTTTGCTTTAAGTTCCGGCATACATGTGCAGAATGTGCAGGTTTGTTACATAGGTATACATGTGCCATGGTGGTTTGCTGCATCTGTCATCCCGTCATCTAGGTGTTAATCCCCACATGCATTAGGTATTTGTCCCAATGCTCTCCCTCTACTTGCTCTCTACCCACCAACAAGCCCCAGTGTGTGATGTTTCCCTCCCTGTGTCCATGTGTTCTCATTATTCAACCCCCACTTATGAGTGAGAACATGTGGTGTTTGCTTTTCTGCTTCTGTGTTAGTTTGCTGAGGATGATGGCTTCCAGTTTCATCCAGGTCCCTGAAAAGGGCATGATCTCATTCTTTTTTATGACTGCATAGTATTCTATGGCATATATGTGCCACATTTCCTTTACACAGTCTATCATTCATGGACATTTGGGCTGGTTCCAAGTCTTTGCTATTGTTAGTAGTGCTGCAATAAACATACGTGTGCATGTGTCTTTATAGTAGAAAGGTTTATAATCCTTTGGGTATATGCCCAGTAATGGAATTGCTGGGTCAAATGGTATTTCTGGTTCTAGATTCTTGAGGAATCGCCACACTGTCTTCCTCAATGGTTGAACTAATTTACACTCCCACCAACAGTGCAAAAGTGTTCATATTTCCCCACAGCTTCACCAGCATCTATTGTTTCCTGACTTTTTAATAATAACTATTCTGACTGGCATGAGATGGTATCTCATTGTGATTTTGATTTGCATTTCTCTAATGACCAGTGATAATGAACTTTTTTTCATATGTTTGCTGGCCACATGAATGTCTTCTTTTGAGAAGTGTCTGTTCATATCCTTTGATGGATTAAACACTTAAATATAAAACCCCAAACCATAAAAACCCTAGAAGAAAACCTAGGCAATACCATTCAGGACATAGGCATTGGAAAGGACTTCATGACTAAAACACCAAAAGCAATTGCAACAAAAGCCAAAATTGACGAATGGGATCTAATTAAAGAGCTTCCGCACAGCAAAAGAAACTAGCATCAGAGTGAACAGGCAACCTATACAATGGGAGACAATATTTGCAATCTACCCATCTGATGAAGGTTTAATATGCAGAATCTACAAGGAACTTAAACATACCTGGTTTTTGATAAAACAGGGCAGACTTTATTCAGAAATTATTGTATTTGTCTCTCCCAACGTTTTTGGGGCTACATGAAGAACTGATGCAAGGTGCTTGCCATGTTTTGCCTATCTTTGAACTCATTCAAGGCAGAAAAGCAGTGAAATTGTTCAAAAATATTATAAGATAAACAAAAAACCCAAAGCCACCAGACAGAATATTATGGTTGAGACACACAAACATTACCTAAAGTCTGAAAATAAAAGCAGGGAAGCGTTCGGAGAAATTAAGGCATTTAAAAGTGCCCTGGAGAATTTAGAAAGCATCAAGAGTACTCAGGGTAGGACATGTGCTCAGAAAACTCCTGAGACGATGCTCAACTTTCATCTTCGTCTGACTCTAGGCTAAGTGCAAGCGGTAAGTTAAAACTAAGAAAATATTGTAAACAACCTCGCTAAATGCTGAAGAAGTGCCTCAGGACACTCTATCCAAAAAGACTATAGTAGATGATTTGTTTATGTGTCTGATTATTTTAGTTCCTGGAATTTAAGGAAATGTATCTCAAAACACTACTCAACACCAGACAAAGGAACAGATACTTCAGTGACCTTGAATAGCAAAGAATGTATTCTTTACAATAATAGTTTTGAAAAGTCAATAAACAAATGGATGACTATACCCTTCAACAAACCAGAAGAGTAAACCCAGGGAAAGGAGGATAATCTGATGTACAGAGTTACCACATTATAATATCCAAATGTCCAGTTTTCAATAACCAAAAACAAAACAAAGATTATTAAGAAAGCCCAGCCATAGGACTTTATTAGAAAAAGACTTTAAAATCACTGTCTTAAATGTGTTCACAGAACTAAAGGAAACCACAGAAAAGAACAAAAGAATATCATGAAAATAATGTATGTACAAAATGAGAATATCAACAAAGAGAAATCATAACAATAAAACAAAAACTTGGCTGTTAGAAAACATCTAAAAAATGACAAAACTTTAAAAACTAGTCTGACAGTTGAGAGAAGACATGAATAACTAAAATAAAAAATGAGATTACAGACATTACTATCAACCACATAAAAAAATTGGGTAATTAGGCCAGGCATGGTGGCTCATGCCTGCAAACCCAGCACTATGGGAGGTTGAGGTGGGTGGATCAGCTGAGGTTAGGAGTTGGAGGCCAACCTGACCAACATGGAAAAACCCTGTCTCTACTAAAAATACAAAAACTAGCCAGGCGGGCATGGTTGCAGGCACCTGTAATCCCAGCTACTTGGGAGGCTAAGGCAGGAGAATAGTTTGAACCCTGGAGGTGGAGGTTGCAGTGAGCCGAGATCATGCCATTGCGCTCCAGCCTAGACGACAAAGCAAGACTGTTTCAAAAAAGAATAAAGACGGCGAGGATGGGGGATAAATCAAAGAGAATACTATTTACAACTGTACACCATTAACTTATAGAAACTAGATGAAATTGACAGATTCCTAGAAAACACAAATTACACAATCTGACTCAAGAAGAAACAGAAAATATGAACAGATCTATAGCAATTCATTTGGATTTTGATGGTGATAGCATTTACTCTGTAGATTATTTTGGGTAATATGAACATTTTAATAATTTTGTTTTCCAATCCATGGACACGTCTTTCCATTTCTTTGTGTCTTCTTTAATTTCTTTCATCAGTGTCTTATAGTTTTCAGTGTTTAAGTCTTTTATTCCCTTGGTTAAATTTATTCCTAAGGATTATATTGTTTTTCATGTTATTATAAATGAGATTCTTCATTTCCCTTTTGAATGGCTCATTGTTAGTGAACAGAAACACAAATAAATTTGAATGTTAATTTTGTATCATGCTACTTTACTAAATTTGTTTAATAGATCTAATAGTTTTTTGGTAGAATCTTTAGGTTTTTCTACATATAGAATTATATCACCTTAAAACAGAAAAAAAAGAACT